GGAGACAATACTTGTCCTTTAATAGCTGACTTATTTTACTTATTATAAGATTTCTAAGGCTCTTTCATATTGTATAGTATGTATCAACAGCCTTTCTCTTGATGGATGAATACTGTTCCATATATATATACTGTTCCATATATACACACACACACACACACACACACACACACACACACACACACCGAATTTTATGTATCAGTTTATCTGCAGGTGGAAATTGGGTGGCTTCTACCTTTTGGCTATGATAATGCTGCTGCCATGGACATGGATGTCCATGTATCTGAGTCCCTGCTTTCCTTCTCTCTGGTATACGCTTAGGAGTGGCATGGCTGGGTCACATCTGTTAGTGTGTCATACTGGAGTGCTTTGGGTCACTATGATGCTGGAAGCTATGTCACCAGTATTTTGAATTCCAGCAGGGTCATTCCTGGTGCACAGGTTTCTACAGAGCTTCCAGAGTAAGGCAGATTGAGAAGGAAGGAGCTGGCAGTCTACTTCTGAAAGAAAAAAAAAAAAGGCCAATGAAAACCCATGACTAGGAGCAGGAAATTGTTGGGTATGTTTTCAGAAGAGGAGCCTCTTGGGTTGAAAGACACTTGAAATAAGACTCATTGAGACACCTCCTCAATTAAGTGATGTAGATGGAATGAAGCTTCCAGGACCTTCACGTGTTGATGTAACGTAACTCAAAATGAGAAGAAACAGCTGAACACGTCCATCAGGAATCAAAGTATGGAATGTACACAATATTGGAAGATTCTAGGAAAATCAAAAGTTCTACAAAATGAAATGGAACACGTAAAGATCAATAACCTAGGAATGAATGAACTGAAATGGACTGGAATGGACCGTTTTGAATCAGACAATCATCTGACCGACTCTGCTGGAATGACAAACTGAAGAGTAATGGCGTCGTGTTCATCAGAAGAACACTTCAGGGTCTATCCCGAAGCAGAGCACTGTCAAGGGTAGCACATTATCTGAAGGTCTGGAAGGAAGATGGCTTTAAATGACGACGATTCAAATTTACTTACCAACCACGAATGCCAATCAAGAAGAAATTTAAGGTTTTTACCAATGTCTGCAGTCTGAAATCAGTCACATGCAGTCAAGAGGCATTGCTAACTACTGGTGATTGGAATGCAGAAGTTGGCAACAAAGAAGGAGAAGCAGTAACTGGAAAATATGGCTTTGGTGATAGAAATGACATGAGATCACATGAGAGAATTTTTCAAGAACAATGACTCATTCATGGCAAATACGTTTTTAAAACAATATAAATGGTAAGTTTACTCCTGTAAAGCGCTACAGACTCAGAAACCCACAGGGGCAGTTCTGTGCTGCCTAATAGGGTTACTTGGGTCAGAACCGACCCAAGAGCAGTGAAAAATATGTTCATCCCTGTTTTTCACTGATGACCTTTATGGTTTTAGGTTTTACGTTCAGGTCTTTGATCAACCTTGCGTTTGCTTCAGTATATGGTGTGGGGTCAGGGTCCTATTTCATTTTTCTGCAAATGAATATCCCGTTTTCCAGCATCATTTGTTTAAAACAGACTATCTCTTCCCCGACTTATTGTGCTTTGGGTCTTTGTCAAGCGATCAGCTATCCATAGGTGGACAGATTTACTGTTAGGCCCTAAATTCTCTTCCATTTGTCTACATGTCTGTCATTGTACCAGCACCAGCACCACACATGTGGACTTCTCCAGATGGAATACACAGAAATAAAATTGACTCCCTCTATGGGAAGAGAAAATGGAGAAGCAATATATCAGCAGCTAAAACCAGGCCAGGGACTGACTGTGGAACAATCCATTAATTACTCATTTGTCAGTTCATGATAAAGCTAAGGAAAATTTAAAACAAGCCCGTGGAGAGGAAAATACATCCTACCTAACTTCAAGAACAAATTTGATACATTGAGCACTAACAGCAGAAGACCTGATGAGTTGTGGGAGGACGTCAAGAATATCATTCATGAAGAAAGCAAATGGTCTTTTAAAAAGTTGGGAAAGAAAAGATAAACAATCAAAGTGGATGTCAGAAGAGACTCTGAAACTTGCTCTTCATTTTAGAGTCACTAAGGCAAATGGAAGAAATAATGAAGTCAAGGAACTGGATAGAAAATTCCCAGGCAGCTCAAGAAGACAAAGTCAAATATTATAGTGAAATGTGCAAAGATCTAGAGCTAGAATACCAAAAAGGAAGAACATGCTCAACTGAAAGAAGTAGAGAAAAAGCTGCAACACTGAAAGATTGTCTGGGGAAAATATTGAAGGATGCAGGAAGTATCAAGAGAAGGTAGAAAGCATACAGAGAATCACTTTACCAAAAAGAACTAGTCAACATTCCACTGTTTCTGGAGGTGGCATACCAGTAAGTACCAATGGGGCTGAAGGAAGAAGTTCAAGCTGCATTAACAACAGCAACAACAAAACACAAGGCTCTAGGAATTGATGGGGCACCTATCGAAATGTTTCAACAAGCTGAGGAAGCCCTGGAAGCACTTACTCGTCTATGCCAGGAAATCTGGAAGACAGCTACTTGACCAACTGACTGGAAAAGATCCACATTTGCATCCATTCCAAAGAATGGTGACCCAACAGAATGATCCAATTATAAAACAATATTATTGATAACACTTAAAATTAAAATTGTACTTAAGATCATCCAACAGCGGTACACACTATATTGACAGGGAGCTGCGAGAGGTTCAGGCCAGATTCAGAAGAGGACATGGAACAAGGAATAGCATTGCTGATGTCAGATGGAGCTTGGCTGAAAGCAGAGACTACCAGCAAGATGTTTACTTGTGTTTCATTGCCTATGCCAAGGCATTTTGACTATGTAGATCATAACAAACTATGGATAATCTTGAGAAAAATGAGAATTCCAGAACATTCATGGTGCTCATGCAGGGCTTGTACATGAATCAAGAGGCAGTTGTGCACATGAAACAAGGGAATATTGCTTGCTTTTAAATCAGAAAAAATGTGTGCCTGGGTTGCCCCCTCTCACCATAGTTATTCAATCTGTGTGCCGAGCAATCATCAGACGAGTTGGCTTACTTGGAGAAGAGTGTGGCATCAGGGTCAGAGGAAGGCTTATTAACAACCTGCGATATGCAGATGACACAACCGTGCTTGCTAAAAGCAAGGAGCACTTGAAGCACTTGCTGATGAAGATCAAAGATTGCATCCTTCGGTATGGATTTCAGCTCACTGTAAAGAAGACTAACACCCTCATAACTGGACCAATAAGTGAAGAAAAGGTTGAAATCATCAAGGATTTTTGTCTTGCTTGGCTCCACAATCACTGCTCATAGAAACAGCAGCCAAGAGATCAGGAGGCATTAGGTCAATCTGCAGCACAAGACCTCTTTAGAGTATTGAAAAGCAAGAGTGTTACTTTGAGGACTAAGGTGTGCCTGAACCAAGCCACAGTATTTCCCATTGCCTCTTATGCACGTGAAAGGTGGGCATTGAATAAGGAAGACCAAAGAGGAATCGATGCCTTTGAATTGTGGTGCTGGCGAAGAATACGGAAAGTACCGTGGGCTCCTAAAAGGACAAACTTGGCTGTCTTGGAAGAAGTAAGGCCAGAGTGCTCCTTACAAGCAAAGATGGCGAGGCTTCGTCTTACACCTTTTGGACATGTTGTCAAAGGAGATCAATCCTTAGAGCTGGACATTCTGTTTGGTAAAGTAGAGGGGCACTGACGAAGAGGAAGCTTCTCAACGAGTTGGATCGACATGGTGGCTGCCCAATGGGCTCAAGGAGGGGAACCATTGTGTGGATGGTGCTTTTCATTCTGGTGCGCATCAAGTGGTCATGGGTGGGAAGCGACCCGTGCCACCTAACAACAGGGTGTTCATGTGAAAGCTGGACAACGAATAAGGACGACTGGAGAAGAGTTGTTGCCTCTGAGTTACGGTGTCGATGAGAAAACATATCCAGTTATCTTCTTGTTGTCTCCCATGTCTACTCCACGTGGGTCTTTTCAGAAGTGCAGCTAGAATGTGCCTTGGCAAAGATTCCAAGACCTCATCTTACGTTCTGTACACGTCTTCAGAAGAGACCAGTGCCCGGAGTAGGACGCCCGCCTTTGTACAGCAGAGGGCGGCGGAAAGAGAAAGACGCTCAAGGGGATAGATGGTCAGTGTGGCCATGACAATGGGCTCAAACAGCAACAGTGATGGGGATGGTGCAAGACTGCATTCTGTTGTCCACGCGGTCCCTCTGAAGTCAAAATGGGCTTCATGGCACATAACAACAAAAACATGCTAATTCTCCTTTTACCGGCTTGAGGACCCCCTGATTTGCTTTCTGCCGTGGCTGCATCATTTTATATCTCCACCAAAGCTGGATGAGAGTTCCAATTTTCCGGTATCCTAAACAACACTTGGTATCTTCCATTAAAAACCAAAACCGAAGGGGAAGAAAGTGCTAGGAAGTTTGAAGTGGCATTTCCTTGTAGCCTGAGGACCAATGAGCTGTAGCAGCTCTCCATGTGCTTATTGGCCAGTTGTATCTTTTTTGGTGAAATATCTGTTCAAGGGTTTCTCATATTTTAATTGTTTTGTTCGTCTTTTATTGCTGAGTTGTACGCATTCTTTCTCACTTTGTCCTTTAATCTTTTTCCCCTTGCTTTTTCTATCCTTTATCGCTCACTGTCCTCCTACATTCTGAATTCAAAATGATCAATGAGGCCGACCCAACTTTATTTCCCATTTCCTATCTATTTCCTGGGACCCCCAACCCTGAGCCTCACGAGCTCCCCAGAAGAAAGTGGGAGAACCCTCCCCATGGCTGATGCCTGTCATGTGGGCTGGACGTGACTATTGTCTGAAATGCGGCTCTGACTCCACTGCCCTTTCTTTCCTGGGCCTGTTTGTCTTGCCCCCAGCAGGAGAGGAGGAGGAGGATGAGTCCGGCGAGGAGCGACTGCCGTCCTGCTTTGACTACGTCATGCACTTCCTGACAGTATTCTGGAAGGTGCTGTTTGCCTGCGTGCCCCCCACCGAGTACTGCCATGGCTGGGCCTGCTTTGTCGTCTCCATCCTCATCATCGGCATGCTCACCGCCATCATCGGGGACCTGGCCTCCCACTTTGGCTGCACCATTGGCCTCAAGGATTCCGTCACAGCGGTTGTTTTCGTGGCGTTTGGCACCTCTGTGCCAGGTGAGAGGGAGGGGTGTTTGGTTTGTAAAGAGGCTATTACTTGACCCCACTACTGCCTCATTATCGTCCTCCTCATTCTCAGATCTGAGCTTAACCAAGCCATTGCCTTTAGACTGCCCACAGTCCATCAAAGGGGATTAATGATCCTCTAACGGAGGATGGCCGAGACTTGTTGATCATTTCAATGTGCCGGGCACTCTATGGTAAGCGGTGTACATGTTTTAGGCTGGGTAAGTCTCAGCAAACAGAGGGATGATTATTGTCCCCGTTCGACATAGGAGGAAACTGATACAGAGAGGCCCGTTTTCATAACCTCCACATTATGTGAGTGGACCGTAAATAATGGAACCTAAAGAATATACAAAGGTTCTTCCAAACATTCCTGGGAAAGGCCATTAGCTTTTCGTTTTTCCAGGAACTTTCTGAAGCCTCCGCTAACGTGTTACTCCCTCCCCTTTCCCTCTGGCAATGACTCTCCGAGAAGCTGAAGACTTAGACTGCTGACCCGTGTCACAGTGGAAGTGTCTGCAAGGATTCTTGGCCCCCTCTGCCTGGAAGGGCGCTTGTAAGGACGGATTGTCTCCTAGCAGAACAAAAGAAGCTTAGCAAGCGCTTGTCCTTCCGTATGATGGATCACGTACTCCATTTTCTTATAACCGCCCCCGCCCCCCAGTGACACACGGGAGTAAATAAACACTTGTGTATTCATTCACTAGACAAGTGTTGATTAAGCACCTCTTATGCCTGATTTGAGGACTGTGCTCACTGCTGAGGACATAATGGGAGACAGACAGACGTGCTTTCCTGTCGCTGGGTTTGTAATCTAGCGCAGGAGACTGCACTTGACCATGATGGTTAAAATTATCTTGGGAAATTTTATGAAGAAAAAAGTGCAGGTTCTGGCCAAGGACCTCTGTGTTAGGTTTCTCGGGTGGGAAATACCTCGGTTCTTGGCTTCGCTCAAGAGAGAATTCACACCGAAGCCTGGATTGTGATCCACGTGGGTTTTTATAAAGGACGGAAGACGTTTCAGGTTTTATCGTCACTGAACACAGCCAACCTCACAGGACTGCACACCCACACATGGCGGCCTGAGGCCAGAGAGAGACTTCGGCCTGGCCCAGCAGAAGGCAGAGAAGCAGCCTAAGGGGGGAAAGAGCCCATGGTCTCCAGATTCCGGCCTTTAGGGCACTCACCTGGGAGGCATGGTCAATGGTACTGGTTGACCCCATTGGCTGAAGTAAGCCCACCTGGCTTAGTTTGGGCCCACCCAGGTGTACCGCCTCCCTGGCTCAGGGCCTGAATTTGGAGCATGCCCAGTAGACATCCCTGGTCCCTGCTCTAGCCACCTAACCTATAGACAGCACACAGGGGAGGGGTGCGGGCTATTCAAGTGTCAGGAGTTGTGTGTAATCAGGGCCCAAAGACCAGCAGGAGGCAGAGGTAAGGAGCTGCCTGAGATCAGCTCGCCTCTTCCCCCTGGATTCCTGCAGGGAGCTGGCCCGTCCCTCCCCGCCGCTCACCGGCTCCATGTGTCTCTTCCCTCTGCAGATACCTTTGCCAGCAAAGCAGCTGCCATCCAGGATGTGTATGCCGATGCCTCCATCGGCAACGTCACGGGCAGCAATGCCGTCAACGTCTTCCTGGGCATTGGCCTGGCCTGGTCCGTGGCTGCCATCTACTGGGCCCTGCAGGGACAGGAGTTCCACGTGGCCGCCGGCACGCTGGCCTTCTCTGTCACCCTCTTCACCATCTTCGCATTTGTCTGCATCAGCGTGCTCTTGTACCGGCGGCGGCCCCACCTGGGCGGGGAGCTGGGTGGCCCTCGAGGTTGCAAACTGGCCACAATGTGGCTGTTTGTGATTCTGTGGCTCCTCTATATACTTTTTGCCACACTAGAGGCCTATTGCTACATCAAAGGCTTCTGAGCCACACCACAAGGCCGTGAGCAGGGCGAGCCTGGGACTTCTCCCAAGAGAAGGGTACCTCCTCACCGGAGACCTCTCCAGGGTGAGCAGCCTGAAGAGGCAGCATCAGGACTTGTGCCCCGGAGCTTCACCTGCCCTCGGCCCTGGCAGCAAACTGAAAGGGCAAAGTCTTAATCAAGCAAACAGAATGGAGAAAACACCCCCTTTACAAAGTATTTAATGACGTACACAGCGACACAGCAACAACCCCACCTCCACCCTGTCTTCCCCCTCATGGCCCAGCCCACAGCAAAGCCTCCCACCCTCTCACCGCCTTGGAGCCCGCCTCGCGCCGGTTCTAACTTTCTTCTGGGTGTCCTGGGGCAGTTTCTCTGGTCCGTCCGGCTCACGGCATTGCTCCGCGCTCCCTCTGCTGCGAGGTGTGGACGCGAGGCCTGGCCGTGTGTCCAGCTCGGGGTTCCCTTCGTTCGTCATAATGGCTGTCGTTGCTTTCATTTGCCATCAGGTTTTGCTTATTGGTTGTTTTTCATGTGGTTTCTGTTACGTCTTTTATTTCTGAAGTTCATCACAAAAGTGGCGTGGAGGACATGGCGCCCCGAGCCACCCGAGGCGGGAGGTGGCAGGCACGCACTCTCACCGTCACGGGCAGCAGCTGTTTCCTGACTCCAAAGTCCTGAGTTCATGTCCTCTTTTCCCAGGCAACCTGGGAGGACTGAGGGCTCTGGTGTGGGAGGAACCTGGCTTAGCCATGGGGGCATGAAAGACCGGCTGGGCAGTGAAGCTGTGTACGCCTACACTACGACCAAGTCAGCAGACACAAAGGGTTGTCCTCTTCGCCGCCAGAGCGGGGGAAAGTCTGTGTGCCTCCGCGTGTCACGCCTGTGTTTGTCCTTCCGAAGACCAGGGGAGGTGGGGGCAGGAGCAGGCACGGGGGCGTGATGAGCGAGGGCAGTTGGAGAAGCCACTGGGGATCGAGGTCGTCTTGGGCGTCTGGAGTTCTGTGTGGGAGGCAGAAAGGTGGCCCAACTTGCGAGTTGTCTGTTTCAGACGCCTGTGCTTCTGAGGAAGGTCCGCTCCACCGCCCCTTCCGTCCCCAGGTTCCATATCGAGAAGGCTGACTGACTGCATTTCTTCACGGAGTGAAACTCCTTAAAAGCTCCTAAGCCAGCAAGGGTCTCTTTCCCTCTTCTTGGCCCTCGGTCACGTTGGGAAGCCTCTTCACGAGGATAAGAACGCTAATTCTTCCTCTCACCCACATTCCTGCTGGTTTCGGAACCTCATGATGCTTGTTTTCCAACCGGTGGGTGGTTTTTGGCCCCGAAAGAGGAGTCTTCGTCGCCATAAGACATGGATCCTGGGTTTACAGGAGAGGGGGTGCCACGCCCTCAGACCTTTTGACAACCGATTTTGAGAGGACCTGGCATATACACACACATGCACACAAATGCAAAATCGCCACAGAACTGCCCACTGATCCTTAGGCTTTCTGCATGGACATGGATACATTTTTTAAAGGAAAAAGGAATAAATGAGAAAACAAACACCTGGTTAATTTTAAACACATTTTTTAAGAAAAAAAAATAACTAAAAAAGAAACAGTGCTCATGTCATAAGTTATGTTGACAGTTGACAGTGGAAACGTTGAGTTGGTTTTAAAAAAATAAAAGCTATACTTATATCTCTCTAAATATAAAGTGTGCTCCTCTCCATGTTTCTTCATGAAAAATCTAAAAGGTCACCCTGGGTTCCTTCTTGAGTCTATGTGATTGAACTTGATGACATTTCTTTTAACTCTCGGATGTCAATATGCCAAACCTGAGTTTTTTGCTTGTTTGTTTCCTTTATTAGCAAAATTACATCATTACTTCCAGAAAGCACCCCCTGCCCAAACCTAGTTTCAAAGAAACTGGAGAACATAAGTAGTGGGATTGTGAAGATTAAGGAAGGAGGAGTATTTTTTCCCCTCAAAAGGTAGAGAGTGAGGAAGGATTCAAGCTAGGAAACCATCGCCCTGTATTTATTACGATAGACCAAACTACCAAACCAATTGCCATTGAGTCAAGTTCAACGCATGGCAACCCCATGTGCTGCACAGTGGAGCTATATTCTATTGGGTTTCTGAGCCTGTGACCTTTCGGAAGCAGATTGCCAGGCTTTTATTCTGAGCTGCTTCTGTTTGGGTTCCAACCACTAATCATTATGGCTAGTCGTGGAGTGTGTAACCTTTTGGACTATCAGGACTCCATCACTCATTCAACAAACAAATGTTAAGCACCAAATAGCATAGACAGTGAAGCTTATATTTGCAAACATAAAGGGTTTATAGCAAGGAAGTAGCTCTCACAGTTGTAGAGGTGAGCAAGCTCCAAGCTCCAAGGACTTAAGTAGCTGCAGGGACTGATGAACCCAAGATTGGCAGGTCAGATGAGAGGCTTCTTGCTGCAAAGGTGAGTGAATTCAACTCCTGGGGTTGACAGACAATACAGCAGGCTTCTGGCTACAGAGGCGAATGATTCCAAGGTTGGAAGGTAAGATGGTAGAATGCCAGTGACTCTCAGGATAGGCAGGCAATATGGCGGACCACTAATTCAAGTCTGAAGAACTAGAGGTTCACAAGCCAGATGCAGCATCTAGACCCAGCAAAAAGTAATCAAGCTTTCCCACAACATTCACTTATATAAGAAGCAAGTCCAGCCACCTGAGAGATTTCATCATGATGGATTACTAGGTCTTAACTACCAACCTGTTGAAAATCCTGGCCCAGTCAAAATTGACATCAAACTGCAACTGTCACACACTGTATACATCAAATACCAATCAGGTGATGCAAATAAGAGTGCACATAGACACCAACCTCAAGAAACTCGGCGTCAGTAAGGAGATAAACAATGTTTTCATTCACATGCTTTGGGTTATAAGAAGCAAACCCATTAGACCCGCTCAAAGAAACGGAGAGGGCAGTACTGTGATTGGCGACTTGGAGAAATCGTGTGGAGTTTAAGTCAAGATGTAGAGCCAGGCTGTGGACACCAGAAGACCCTTGGGAAACAAGGCTGCACTTTCCACGTTCCCAAAACGCACAGGTGGCCCCATCCTTGCTGATTTCTGCAACTGAGCCTCTCTTCTTCCTCTGCTTTGACAACCTTACACCCAACCCAGCACAACCACAGCCTCCACCTGTAACATGGCATCCATCGTACATCAAACCAAGGGAGAACTTATAGGTTGCTTTGTATCAAGCGGCCTTTTAGCTTCTTTTTTTTTTTTTTTAATTTAAACAACCCAGGTTTGGGAGAACAGGCTGGTGCTCACATTGTAGGTCTCACCGTCCTTTCCAAAAGCTAAGTGATAGGAGGCATTCTGTGAAGCATATCAACCATTGAGGTGCAAATAAAACTGGTTCTGTTCTCGTGCTCTGCGAGAGGCATCAAAAGGGGAAGAAACACTTGCTCAGCCTGGAAGAGTTCATAAAGATGACATGGGATGTGGCATTTACGTGGGATATTGAACGAAGAGTAGACAGTGATTTGCCTTGATGGGAGAGGCAGGCATAGAAGAACAGATTTTAAAAAGACTACATTCAAGGCTCAAGGAAGAAACCAGGTAAGGCACAGTTGTGGAACTGGTAGTTGGCCTGGCCAGCGTATAAAGTTCAGTAAGCTTACACTAGAGCTAGGAGGGTCATCGTTGTGGGCCCCTGCATGCTCTGCTGAGGAATCTAGGCTATCCACAGTGGGGTCCTGAGGACAGTTTAGGCCACAAAGATCTCACCAGATCATACCTGAAGGCTCATTCCCCTCTCCTCTCTTTCTGGAGTGTGGGTTCTCAGCCTTTTCTTGGGCCTAAACTTTAGGCAAATTATGGGGCCCAGAAAGCAGCATCAGGAATACAAGGAGACTTCAAAAAGTACATGGAGAAATGGAATGCAAAGGTAATGGAGTTTTCCCACAAACTGTTCGACGCCTTCTCATGCAAAGCCTGTTAGAGAAGATTAACCACTGGAGAGCAAAGGGATTTGTAGTAGAAAACAGCCCATGAAGAGATCAGACAGAAAGGTTTAGCTAGAAGGCTTTTCTGTGTTTTACCACCTACTAAGTTGCAAGTGAAACAAACAAACAAAAACACACGTTTGCTAATGAAAGAAAACAACTCTCAGCCATCAAATAAGTTCAGACGCAAAGCAACCCTACAGGACAGAGCAGAACTGCCCCTTTGGGTTTCTGAGACTGTCCGTCTCCCCGGGAGCAGACACCCTCCGCCTCCAGCGGAGCAGCTAGTGGGCTCGAGCGACTGACCTTGCGCTTAGCAGCCCAACGGAGGCCACCCAAGCTCCCGGTTCAATGACAAAGGCAAAATCCCAAAGGCATTTGGGTGACGCTCTCCCCTTCTACGCGTCATTTCTGGCCTATCCAGATGTCAGGGTTTCCCACGAGAGAGGAAGCTGGGGTGAAATCGACAATGGGGAGCGTTGAGGGGGATCCTGAAGATAGGGACACTGCTCTCGATGCCGCCCCCACTGTGTCTGTGGTCTTGGGCCCGTCATTTCTCTGTGGGTCTGCATTTGCTGAACTACAATCGAGGTCTGAACGGATGGTCTCTAAAGTCCATTGCTTCTAGCATTCATGCTGGAATTTTATACATTCAAAAGTAGTGTGTGTGTGTGTGTGTGTGTGTGTGTGTTCACATATCTGTAATCCAACTTCCTGTCACTGGTATCTGATTTAGCATGATAGAGCACCTTTTGTAATTCGTCAAGCCCTCGATCAGTTTTCAAGCCCTCGATCAGTTTACAATACCAAGGTCATTCGTTTTAACTGGACTGGCCATCTCCTTTTTGTCCACAGTAATCTGTGAAGCTAGTAAAAGTCTATAAAAGTTTCCACGTCTGTCCAGCAGGAAGCCCGGGGCAGGTTAGTCTTTATGTGAGCCCGCTCCTAAAACTTCCAGGGTCCAGGGCAGCTCGCCCTTTCTTGCCTCATCACTCTTCAGAGACACAGTGTGGGCCCATTCCTGGCAGCGCACCTCTCCTTCCCGCCATCCTGGAGCGAGCCGGGGACGCACACGGGCTTTGAAGACACCAATTCTCCCTTCTTCAAGGAAACGTTGGTCAGAATTTTCTTTTATTGAAAAAAATTCAAAGCAATTTACAGATTTTTATTGCCATACAATTCTTGTGAGAGAAAGAGAGAAAATCATGATTATCCCTGTGTCAGGGAAGATGAGAAAGGAGACAGAGAGCACTGGGGGGTGGGGGGGTAGGGGTGGGGGTGCCCAGCATATCACAGCAGCTGAGAACGAAGCCAGTTCTTTGGCTCTGTTGCCTGTACATTAGCCATTATGAAGTGACATTGCCAGAACAATCTCATCCCTTGACTCATTTTACACCACACACACACACACACACACACACACACATACACACATACTTGCTGTTGAATATATAGTGTGCATATATACACACACACTTGCTGTTGAGTTGACCCTGACTCGTGTGTGCAGTAGACCTGTACTCCACAAGGCTTTCAATGGCACCTTCTTCACAGGTAGATCACTACACCTATCTTCTTGGTGAGCCCCCAACCCTCTAACCTTCCAGTTCACCGCAGAGCACGTCAACCATTTGTATCAGAATCTAGGGCAGAGCACTGTTGGCTGCTGTCCTAAGGAAACCCAGTGCTTTTTGCTGATGTGGAAGATTCAAAGTTCACTGCTCACTCCCCCTGGTCAGTAGGTAACTGTCCCCTCAGGATGATTCGGGGATCCGGCTTTCCCACATACAGTGACTACATCCCCTGGGGTCTCCGAGTCCTCTGGATCCCAGTGGCAGATGGAAAACGAGAGAAGACATGTATTCATTCTCCAGCTTGACTCTGAAGGGGTTCTTAGCATGTTTGCTCTCATTCCAATAGTAACCGCCCTAACACACCCAAAGGTGGGCGCTGCAGACCTTGGGGGGACAACCATGCACCGAGGGCAGTGCTTGGAGTCCATAGGACAGGGTAGGCCTGCCCCTGTGGCTTTCTGAGACTGCAACGCTTTACAGGAGTAGAAAACCTCATCTTTCTCCCATGGAGCGGCTGGTGGTTTCGAACTGCTGACCTCAAGATTAGGAGCTCAATGCGTAACCACTAGGCCCTCAGGGCACTCGTGCTATACTATAGAGGTATAAAATTTTGATGAGTGCTATCTATCTCTTCCATAAATCTTTTGTGATAAAAGGTATGTTTGATGATCTACAATAAGTAATTGCTGGGCTCACAGTGACACAAACCCTATATCTACATGGAGGTTTATGGTTTTCAAGGAAGTGTTCACGCATTTGTTTCATTGGAGCCTGTTAACCACCTCAAGGGGTAGAGAGAGCTATTTTCATTTTAATCAGTGAAGTTCCCAGAGGTTACACGATTGCCCAGGAGCCTACAGATAGTCAGAAACAGAGCTTAAATACAGGTCTTCTACAAATGGGTGCATAAGCAAATGTGGTGAAGAAAGCTGACGGTGCCCAGCTATCAAAAGATATAGTGTCTGGGGTTTTAAAGACTTGAAGGTAAACAAGTGGCCATCTAGCTGAGAAACAACAAAACCCACATGGAAGAAGCACACCAGCCTGTGTGACCACAAGGTGTCGAAGGGATGAGGTATCAGGCAACAAAGAACAAAAAAATCATACCATTGTGAATGAGGGGGA